ACCAAGAATTTTCCACAATCCCACCGGATTAGTTCCCAGACCGTTTCTGCACACTGCTCCGCTCAGCGCCTGGAACTCTGGACTCAGTGGTCTGTTCAGGAGTTGCTGTACCAGTTAACATACAGACATGTGTGGAAATAAGACACGGGATTAAATAAGCAGAGCTAACACAGTGATCATACTCCACTCTCTTAACAAAGAGGGTTCTTTAAGAGTTCTTTAGTAAAAGCAATGACTTTATTGTGAACCATGAGTTCTATAAAGAACCATTTGCATGCTTATGTGGTTCTCTGCATGGTGAAATGGTTCTTCAGATTGATGAACAATGTGTTGTATATGGTTCTATATAGGACCTTTATGAAAATGGATTTGTATAGCATCAAAAAAGGTTCTGCTATTCTTACAAGTTTGGCATCTTAACAACAGCAGAACCCCTTTTGCTTCTATATAGAACCAGAGGTTCTGTATGGAATCATATACAACACATTCCCCATCAATCTGAAGAACCAGTTCACCATGCAAAGAACAACTGAAGCACGAAATGCTTCTATATAGAACTCATGGTTCTAAACAGAACCACTGTCTTGACTAAGGTACCCTTGAAGAACCATCTCTTTTTAAGAGTGCATATAGAACCTCTTCAAAAAGCAGCAAAAAGTGGTTATGCTTAGTCTTGACATCTTAACCAAAAGAACCATTTAAGCATGCAAACGGAATAGAAGTCAGGGTTCTAAACAGAACCATTCTCTTTACCAAAAAACCCTTACAGAACCGTACTTGTTAAGAGTGTAGTATCACAGATCACTGAATATTCACCAGCTTCTCGATCGAATGTTCCCGTTCCACCTTAAATGGACCAATTACCGTTGCACTATTTAAGGTGGAACGGGAAAGTTCGGACGAGAAGCTGACTCCAGTCTTTCGTAATCAGTAGCTGCCTCACCTGAATGATTCCTGACTTTAGGCCACGTTTGGACTGCTGGACAAACAGCCATCCACACCCACATTTCGTACATGACGGAGTGGTTCCTAGTGTTGTCCTGAGGAGAGACTTGTCGCGTCCTTCGTGGAGAAACGCGTTACGAGAGCACGGAGACCAAACGCTGCTGCGGCTGCTAACGTGTTTACTGTATCTGCTCCCGAACCGCAGCAGCGCTGCCATGTTTCTGCGCTTCCTCTCTCCGTCTCTTACTTTAACTGCGAGAGAAACAAACCCCCTCGGCTAAAACACCATCTTTAAAACCGCCTTGGTGCTGTTAATGCTCTGGTCCGACGCTTCGAGGATGACCGCCAGCTACATAACTGACTGTTGTTCAACACCAAATAGCCAAAGATATTTGAGGTTGACGGCGCTCATACTTCCTAAACGGATCATTGTTATTGTTCTTATTTTGCTTGCGCATGCGTGAACACGATTTGGAGTAAAACAGACTGTGTGAATTTTCACGATATATTATGAATGATTAATAATATTTAAAAATATCAGCTGCAAACAAATATGTTTAAGTTCACATAGACGTCGGTCGAGATGCCTGTCTAGGATTTCGAAATATCTTCGTTCGAACTTTCACCGTCAGTAACAGCCAATCGCGATGAAGGACGGTTGAGAGAGGTGTTCTGGGAAATGTAGTTTTGCGTAGCCTTCTACGCGTCTAGTGCAGGATATGTTGATGAATCGAAAACTACAACGAACGTTATTGGCCGTGCGTGGTGATGTAAATAAAACTAGCCACGTCAGACGGACTAAATATCGGTTTTTTGCTAATTTAAAAGATCTTTATACTTAAATATTGTTATAATAAATAATAATAATAATAATAATAGCATGAAATACTAATAGGACGTATTGTACGTATCCCCTAAAATGTGAAATGGTATGTTTTATATGCTTATTAAAATCTTTTTGAAAGGTACTTATTTATTTTTATTAACATTTTTCTGTGCATTATATTATTTGTTTACATCATATGTATTTTCATACATTTGTGCGTCAATTACTTGTGTTTCCAATAAAAAATTGAGTTTGTTTGGACCCTTTCTGAATATGCGTTTTAAAAAAAGTAATACTATAAAAATGTCATATGTTATATCTGATATATTATAATAAATTGGTTTAAACTTTACCGGTTTTAACTTTAAACTTAACTGACTTTTTCGTTCACACCTCATACTCTGAAACTGTCCAGGACAGTCTAGCATTTCCATTATATATACAGACTCTCAGTCTGGTGTAATTAGAGAACGTGTGAATATGAATTTATTAAATATGCTCTATAGTGTGGCTGGATTTCATTTCAGCAGGTACAGACTAGAAACGGTGTATTTGATAGGTAAGTATAATACATCAACGTACGTACTGTTGTCATATGTTTCTTCCTGTGTAGAGCTGGTTACGCTACATGTGTTCTGAACAGCAGGGGGCGCCATTGCATAGATATTTCATTAAATATGTTTCGGCATTAAGGGTACCTATCCTAAAAACGTTACGAACGTAGATTTATATGTAGATGAATATTAATCTTAATAAATATATATCGTATACGAAAAAGTACACAAATATCTATTATTTAAGACACTAACTTCGGTATTCTCTATAATTCGGTCCAACAGACACCTTAAACTCTAAAAACAATGTTATTTATTGTTGAAATGGTGCTCTCCGTGTCATTGTGGGTCAAAAGAGCATTTTACTGTTTATTAAAAAGTGTTTAGCAGGCTTGAGTCACACTGGCGCCGATGTTTGAGTGAGATAGGCCGCATTCCAATCTGCATGCATCTGCTGTAGGACACTTAGCTAATACCTAGTTGCATTCTAGAGTGCTTAGTTAGTGTGTACCTGTGTTCTAGAGTGCTAAGTTAGTGTGTACTTGTGTTCTGTTGTGCTTAGCTAGTGCATACAAGTGTTCTAGAATGCTTAGCCAGTGCATACATGTGTTCTAGAATGCTTAGCTAGTGCATACAAGTGTTCTAGAATACTTAACTAGTGCATACCTGTGTTCTAGAATACATAACTAGTGCATATGTGCTCTAGAATACTTAACTAGTGCATGCGTGTTCTAGAATACTTAACTAGTGCATATGTGCTCTAGAATGCTTAACTAGTGCATATGTGCTCTACAATGCTTAACTAGTGCATACCTGTGTTCTAGAATACTTAACTAGTGCATATGTGCTCTAGAATACTTAACTAGTGCATGCGTGTTCTAGAATACTTAACTAGTGCATATGTGTTCTAGAATACTTAACTAGTGCATATGTGTTCTAGAATGCTTAACTAGTGCATATGTGTTCTAGAATGCTTAACTAGTGCATATGTGCTCTACAATGCTTAGCCAGTGCATACCTTTATTCTATCATTCTTAACTAATGCATACTTGTGTACTAGAAGCTGGTGTACGTTTATGGCCCAGAACCCAGCCTATTCAAAGAATTGTGGCTCTAAGAACCGCATGTTCTGTTTCTAAGAGCTTTTGCTGCGTTCAGTCACACGGTGCTGTTTGAGAAAGTGCACTAACTCCTGCATGATGTTTTCACTTCACGCTTGTGCATAAGCCAGTCGAACAAGCTGACCAACATGTGAACCGCAAGTGTCACTTATAGTTTAGTGAAAGGAAAGCAATGATGACATCAAAGCATGTCCTGACTGCACGGTGTCGACTGTACTGAGTACCTACAGACTGGAGAGATTACATCAGCCGGTGTGCTGGTGTACGGGGCCCTGCTGGTGACATCCCGCATAAATAAAAACAATGCGTGTACTTAGGAAGGTGTGGGAACGAGATAAATCATGGCCACAACTTAGTAAGGTGTGGGAATGAGATCATGCCCCATTCAGCTGTGGTCAAGACTTAATTATATCATTCCCACACCTTACTAAGTTCTTGCCATGCATTAAGAGCTCAACCCCACACTTTACCATGTCGTGGCCACTCATTGTAATGTATACGACCAGCAGGGCTCCGTACTTCTGTACTAGTAAACATAATGATTTCAGCTGTGCTGAGTACTGGAGGACCTGTAAACTAGCCAGTGCGTTTACTAGAAGTTAACTCATGTAGTGCAATTTCAACTGAGCTGAGTACTGATTTATACTAACCTGTGTTCTACACTAGAATGGTCTACACAGTACGCAGGCCGGTTTATCTGCATCTGGGATGTAAAAATACAGAGAAATTGTATATAAGTGAAAGCAAGGGTACTGTGTCTAAATCTTACTCAATTAAAACTGGAAGTATGGAGCCAAATTATAAAAATATTGACATACTAATGCAATAAAAGTAAAAAAATAAATGTTTTTACTAAAAAACAGCGTGATAAGTCTATTTTTATGCTGTTACGAATTTAGTTGATGTTCCAATAAAAAAAAAAAAACTCCCAACAAACAGTAACTCAACTGACGGGTAAAAGACGTCTCTTCATGGCCTTACAGAGATTTGTAATGAGTACTTTGAAGGTCTAAACGAGAAGATTTCTATCTGTTGGAATAAATGAGAAGTATTCTTTCAACCTTTCAAAACGATACTTAAGTAGAAGCCAGGCTGGTTTATTTATCTAGCACCTTTCATACACTGCAGTCATTCAAAGTGCTTTAGAAATGACGAAATACAAAGATGATTCATATTAAATATTAAAAAGCTGTGGGAGAACAGAAATCAAAACATGACTGAAGCATGATTACAACCAATATATTTTAAAGAGAAGAAACAAACATTAGATTAAAAATATACTTATAATTAAACTGGCATAATACGGTTCCGCTACAGTAGGAGTGCAGTAGAGCCAACAGCGTTTCAAACCGAGCTGCAATCTGTTCAAATAGGAACGGTTTCAGCCCCAATGTGTGTAGTAAACAACCAGATTCACTCTAGTGTTCTCACTAGTGTACACTACGTAGTATACGAGTGCGCAAAACTCAAAGCGGAATCAAACCAAGCAGTGACCGCCCACGATCACCAGCCAATCAGAGCCCAGCTTTCGCCTCCCTGCATCCGCTCCTCGTCAGCAGCATTCGAGTCAAAGGCCGCCTGAGACGGTTGGGGCAGAGAAGACGGACACGGAGGGGATTAAAACCTGCCGGGGATTTTCTTTTATTTTTAACACAGAATTCACACTGAGCTGTAAAAAAATCGACGTGGGTCTACCGCCGATAAACAGTCCATCCGTACGAGAATAAACAGCGAATCATGGAGGTTTCGTAATCTTTCTCCCGACTCGTCCGCTGAGGAGACCGAGTTTCGTCGGTTGGGCAGCCAGGAATTAGCTTAGCATACCTTAGCTTAGCTTAGCCTAGCCGTGCTCCGCAGTACCGCCGACGCTCGCCGCGCGTTCCGACCGAGATGAGTGTCGTCTGGCCCGGATGCCCGCGGACTCTAGCGCGCTGATCGGGAAGGCCTCAAATGGGAAAGTCGAGCATCGGGCGGGAATACCGAGCATAATTCTGTAGATGTAGCTCACATTTGGAGAAGGTGAGTAAAGCTGAAGCTGTTCTCCGCCGTCTTGGTGTTGTGTGGATGTTTTTTTTTGCTCGTCTGTTTTCATTTGCATTTTTTTGCTAAATGCTACGCTCGTTAGCAGCATGGCTAAAGTGGATTAGCGGGCGAGTTTATTTTCCCTCCCCCAAAGCCGCTTTTAATCTAAAATAATTAACTACATTTCGGTAATAGTCAGGGGTTGATTTTGCTGAATGCTGTAGCCGGAGAGCCGCGCCACATCTGAAGAGGTCACTGAAAATTAGACGTAATTTTGAAGGGATATTCCACTGTTTTTTCAAAATTCCTGCATAATCCGGTCACTGAGATGTAAACAGAGTCGTTCAGAGTGGTTTGGTGTGAAACGGCTCATTGTGGAGGCTCAGATGTCTTTACAGTGGTGGTGATAGGAACCAGGGGTCACCATGACTACAACACAAATATATCCATATTATTTACTATGCAAGGCCATCAGTGAACCTACACGAGGTTTTACATAATGTTGTTGATGGTAAAATAGTGGGAAGTCTGAAGAAATAGTTTTCTTTAGGGACTATTTTGCCTCACAACGCCCTACATGTACTCCTCCACCATGACTGGGTTTAATAAACACGTCTATGGCAAAATATTATCATAGAAATGTTTCAGTGTATTCATAATCATTTAACGTACAAACTTTAAGTGAGGGAGCGTTTATAGGTGGACGTCTGGTTCCCATCACCACCACTGTGAACAGTTCTGACTCTTAAGCTTCTCTAGAAAAGTGCATTTCACACCAAACCCCTCTGAATGACATTGTTTACCCTTTAACCGTCTAATTATACAGAAATTTTGAAACATTTCCCCTTTAAGCTTGCAGAAAATAAACAGTGCTTTTTATTAATCATCAGAAGAGGATGTCAGTTTATGCTGCGATGTTGTATGTCTACAAAATGGTGTGGGGGGGGTGAGCTGGACCACTCGAAAGTGCAGTTAGATCACATTACGTATTGCGGGTCATTAGTGAGGTTAAACCAAGTCTTGTGTAATTTCAGATTGCTAATGCTGTGTCGACAGGAGTTGATGTGCATCTGTTTCTAGATGCCTGTTATGACGTTAGTGCCTGTATGTAGTACCTTGTTTATATTGAGTTATATTTGTTATGTCTGCAGATTTACGAGTTTTTCTGTATACAGTATGTTGGAGGTCACTCTCACGTCCATCGTTTGTGTTTTTATATCTACTTCTCTTGGTTTGGCAGCAAAACATAATGGTTTTTTATGAAATGATGCAGTGGTTCAGCAGAGTGCATTCTCTTATGGTTGCCTGATTTTGTTGTTGTGCCCTTCTTTTCACGGCATACATATTAAGATTTTGCATGTTGAATCAGTGACGGTCTGCATGGTGTGAACGGAAGCTGTGATGATATTTCTTGTAGGTTTGTTGCTGCTAGATGCTGATTCAGTGCATTGGGGTGATGAGTCAAGTTTACAAGTTAGATCTGCTGATTAATAAGGCGATGGCCTGGCTTGTTTTTAACGTTTATGGTTGAATTTGTGGTGCTTATTAGTAACAGGACGTTTTAATAGTGCTGGTTATGTTTGTTATTGAGTAATATACCCCAATTATTTGATGATTCATTGAGTGATCCGTTGTTTTGAAAGTCCAAACAATTGAAATGACTCAAATTGGATAATAGCAAACCATGCAGAGCCTGTCACATACTCCAAAATACTTTCCAGGGAGAAGGAGAATTAGTAAGTTTATGACAGTACATGGCAAAATGCATATGAATGGGTGGGCTGTTTTTAGCTGCATGAGGGATCCGTGTGAGAAATGTGAAATATGCATGATCATAATGAAAACTGCCAACTAATTATTGCTGATTCATTGAAAAGGTCGGTTTTAGTATATTGGTGTTTTAATTTGAGTAACTGAGTAATTGCGAGAGCCCTGCTTGAGAGAGACTGAGTGAAGTTGAGCTCTTGGTGCAGTGAGCTAAAGGCAAAAACACTGCAGTGAAGCTGCCAGCTGTGCTTTCTAGCAGATACTGAGCCCCTACAAGCATCGGGGCGTTAGCACTGAAACTCACTGTAGACGCAGCAGTGCGTGCGATCCTCTCTACTTCACTGATTTTGGAATTTTTTTGGTTTTTTGTTCGAAATAGTTCACCTCACCGTTGCCGTAGTGGTGTGTGGAGTTGTTAAACTGAAATATCAGGATGTTTTCTGGGTTTATAATAACATCGTTGTCATAATTTTAGCATTAATAGCTTAATAGCTCAGGTTAATCCATTCATGTCCACATCTACAATTGTACGGTGGTCCGTATGTCCTCTAAGCTTGCCTGAGCACAGATCTGAAGATATTTTTCAATCCATCCATATTTCTAAAAGTATGTCAATGTCATCACACTAGATTTACTCTATTGGCTGTGTAAGTTTTACCAAAACAGTAGAAAGTCTGAAGTTGTTTGTGGTAAATAGTATTCAGTTTATGTGTAATCAAACAAATTCAAATGGACACTGTTAGAAGTTTATCCCACATATAACTGTACAACATTTAGTCTCTTTAGACTGAACCAAACAAGTTCTGAGGGATTGGTTCTTATCGTATTACGTCTAGTCTTTAGACATGAATAGCTTAATGACCCTGTGCTTCCTGAGAACCACGACTCTGTGCTAAAAGAATGTCTTTCAAACCTAATATAGCTTGTTTTGATTGGACTGTTTTTGTTTTCGTCTCATGAAATTACCCTGAAGAGTTACACCAAAGGTTATCCTGCGTGGTATATAAGCATCAACCAAAAGGAGACTCAACCCTGTTTCCTGCTTTTTAGCGCTTAAGGATTTAGAAGCTTAGTGTTATTATAGTGTGGCTTTAAAACATTAGGCCAGACAGATGCTTAGGGTTGGCTGATACATCATCCGTACTGGCGTATCGTGATATTGCTTTTCAGTTTTGTCAACAGTTGTGATACTTGATTGATATTGAGCAACAGTAGTGCTGTTTATGCTGCCATACGGTTTGTTTTTTGTTTGTTTGTTTTGGTTTTTAGGCTAGTTTCTTTAATTACATTTCAGTTTGTTGCTTCAACAAACACTTTAAAATGTAATTGTGTCTAGTTAACAGTTACAGTGTTGTGCAAGGTTCCCTTTGGCTTCATTTTAAGGAAATAAAATAAAAATAAGCCAATTAAAATAACTACGCAAGGTTTGTGAGACATTATCACTGAATACTAGTCCAAAGCAGGAGCATGTTAACTTTTATTGATGCTAAATTAAAGTTAATCTAATTTTGTGATGTGTTTGGAAGATATTTTGATATTGAACTGTATCAATATCAGTACTGCTAATACTGTCTATCAATAGAAGCTCTTGTTCTTCAGATTATCAGTGGGATAAACAAATAAGACTTATCCCAATGCATAAGGGCAGTGGTTTGTATGTTGGTTTCCTGGACGTTTCTCTGTACCTGATCTGTGTTGTGTTTAAGATGGAGCGTCTCTTGTTGTCTGGCACCGTGGTGCACAGCAGAGACAGGAAATGGAGTTTTGGCCGAGGTCACGGGGTCAGGAGCTCTGTTTTTGGGAGCTGGACTTTCTCAGAGCGCTTTTCCTGTCTCAGGCTGCCGCTCTGCTCTACCTTATGTCTTGCTTCACCTATATTAATTCTGCCTTTCTGGCTGTGAGAAATTGGGGTGTTTCCAAGACTCAGCAGTCAAGCCAGTTTACTAATTTTAGAAGATTTTTTTTTGGTGAAGCTCTGCTTGTGCTGAGCTGTACTTGGTGAAGTTTTGCTTGTGCTGAGCTGCCAATTTTATAATGGTTTAGAAAGTGATTGTGGCTGCCTAAATATGCCTCGCTGTGTAGAAGGCCGTTCAGGCATGTTGCTTAATGTTCTTAGAAAATAAATCATGACAGTGAATCAGATATATTTAAGTCTAGCTGTATGGTTATCTATGACTGTGTAAATATAATTTCCGCAATTGTATTTTTTGCCACTGATTTATATTTTCTCGTTGTTATGCGTGTCATAACCCCTAACAAACGTTTGTCAGTGTACTTGGCAGATAAAGTGAATAATAGCTTGTTTTTTGATGGGAATACATAGAAATAAGTGGTGTTCAGTAGCTAGATTTCTAAGTGGTAAAGCAGTTTGCCATGCTACATGGTTGGGCTGAGTGTAGGGACCACCCTTCAAGAAAAAGCAGTTAAGCCCCCCCCGAGTAGCCTTTGCTACAAGTGTTATTTTGTTAAATTGTGTTGTCCACCAACATAGACAGGTGTATCCAGTCAAGGTATATTTTATTTGATCAGCGTTGACTGTTAAGCCCAGTGGAAGTCCCGTCGTTTGTTAACACTATTTTAACGCTCTTTCCTGAAATGACGTGAATCTGCAAAGTAAAATAAAACGTATTTAGCATTGTAGCTCAGTTCTCTAAGTGTTCTGCTGTGCAATCAAAGCATTGAATATTGGTTTTAATTATTGTTCAGATGTACTCGTTAGTCCGATGCTGGTAAACGGTTTGAACAGTTTCTGTCAATATGATATGATTCCTGTATGATTATGCATCTGTAATATGTGCTGGTTTTTATACTTTTTTACCATAAATAGAGTTGTGACCTGTTTACGTAGGACTAAAATCACATGGTCACCTTGTAGAATCAAATCTTGTGGACCACTTAAGCTGTCGCCAGACTGCAGGCAAATCGGATTTGTTTCTCAAGTCAGATCTTTCGCAACGCACTGTTTTTTGCAAGTGATCAGATTGGATTTGTGTGTCCAGACATCACCAGCCTATCTCAGTGGGCTGCTGTGGTAACGGCGTAGGTGTCAGTAACAGGAACTACTCTGGTAACGCAGATTGCAAACACGGATGCAGGAGAGATGGAGGTGCATCATCTCACCCTCCAAGCTCTTAAATGAAATTTTGGAGAGTGACTTAGACACTTTGAAATCCAATTTGAGTGGCTAGAGAGCTGGACGGACGCAGCTGTGGAAATCCGACAGGAATCGC